GAGAGAGAGAGAGAGAGAGAGAGAGAGAGAGAGAAAGACAGGGGGAGAGAGATGGAGAGAGTGACGGAGAGAAAGAGAAAGAGAGAAAGCAGAGAGGAGATACAAGGACAAGTAGTGACTGGCGCAGAAGAAAGAACATAAAGGCATATTTTCTCACAAAGCTAATTTTGCTACGATAGGGAAAAAAACCCTGATCAATATTCTATGTTTCCGCTCTATTAGACCAATCTACCTTCTGGTCAATCGAGTATGAAAAATAGGTTGACGACCTTTAGACAATAAAATTATTATCCATAATGTGTGCAGTCGCACCAACATTTCGATCTTACCTTGAGAATATTCGACTACATATTATGAGGACACACAAGAAAATCAAATCCTTTGACCCTGCGAGTACAACAACTCTCGCTATCCCTGTCTCCAACTCTGTAGAGTTATGCTCAGAACTCACACGCACCTACAAGAAACAAACGTCCGCACGCACACACGCACGCACGCTCACGCACGTGTGTGAGAAACAGCAGAGATCAAGTCTCACATTAACACTCGACCGACACACACCACTAACAATGTAAAGTTCTTTGCGTATTTGCGCTCAGCAGCACAGAAACACATCGAACACGCGCTTCGATCATCGCCTAAGTTGAAGAAGGAGCAAACACACGCGCACACACACACAAGTAAAAAAAATAACATCGGCATCGTAGTGATGTGCGACCACGGCCCCACTCACACTCACACTCACACTCACTCACGCACGCGATCGCACGCTTGCCCGCTGTTCCGATACCACTTTTCACAACATCCGACCGCGTGAGTTCTGCTCGGGCACAACGGTCCCTCTCGCATCCACACTCCGGGAGCGCATGTGGTGTGGTATTCACGATGAAAAATGCAAGCTTACAAACTTGGTTTGGGTGACAAGATTCTCAGCATCAGGCTCCGAGTACAAAGCGCGAGTAATGGTGTCCGCAGTTCTTTTAAACCTCGCTCTTTCCAGTTCTAGGACTCATTTCTTTTTGCTTTTTTTTTGCTCTTTATATCCTTAGTTTTCCCCCTTTCGACCTCTGCTCTGCTGCCTTTTATTTTTTGCTGCTTTTTCCTTCTATTGAATTCCTTTCACCCATGATCCTCTCACACTCAACTGTTTCTTTTCACTTTTAAGTCCGCCAAACGTATTCAGACAATGAATAATCACCCAGAGCACCCCAAAAGGAGATATAATGCGCGCAAATCCTTCGATAGTGAAATATTCGGTAGAATGTGTGCTTTACACCAAGATGCATGAGTACGTATTCTGTGGGGGTGGGGCCAGG